TCTCTCTCTCTCTCTCTCTCTCTCTCTCTCTCTCTCTCTCTCTCTCTCTTTCTCTCTCTCTCTGTCTTCGATTATTTTGCTCTCTTTCTCTCTTTCTTTCAATTCTTGTTTTCTCTGCATCTGTAGCATACAAATCAGTCTCGCATTTTTTTTTTCATTTTTATATCTTTAATTAATTTCGCTTTATCGTAATACAAAATACTCGCTTAAAGGTTCTCCACGTCTTTTTGCGCGCAGGATCACACGTAATAAATCACATTATCATAATATGTTAATATTCACAATTATACAATTAGAGATGTATACACAACGAGGTACAGAATTTCAGAAAAAAATTACACTTGCTCAATCGTTCAATCTTCCTTTTATCCAATTTCAATTCTTTCTTTCTCTCTCTCTCTCTCTCTCTCTCTCTCTCTCTCTCGCTCTCTCTCTCTTTCTTTCTCTCACGCAATCATATCGCTCTGTGGTTAATTTCATGCGTAAAATACGCGGTCATACACACGCGCCCACCGTTCACTCTTCATTGCATATAATGTAATAATTAATACACTTAAAACATCGTGTTCGTTTTTTTTTATGTACGAGAAGAAACGTCAATGATCGACAGATTAATCGCGGCTGAAAACATAGAACGCGGTCGCATACTTGTATAAAATTCCTAGAAATACTATTATATCCTATCATGAATAGTGTTGGATGACAATAATGTAGTATGCGGTGATTGTTGAATCATTTTTTTATTTTTGATCTCGATCTTACTGGCTCGAGACACGATTTCTTCACTCCCTCGAGGAACAATCTCAAGTTTCAATCTGTTTCTTTGTATTCCTTATCTTCGTTTATTCCCATTAAACTTACCAGAATTAAATCCATCGAATTATTTCAAGAGAATCTCATTTTAATTGACGAGAAGCGATTCGTCCTCGCGACGAGTACCAGAAAATCGAGTCGTGACCGAAATCGTTTCGGTTTAGTGTTAGATTAGGCCCCATAGCAGAATGACATTGCTACGATTTGAATGTTTGTTCTCGCATACCTCGTGAAAAATGAATTTCTAACGGAATGCATTATTTACCTTTCTTTATCCAATTCACTCTTATTCACCTATTTGCGCTACATCCTATGCGTTGTAATCGAATTTTTTTCTTTTCCATTGAGATGGTTTCTTCTTCGTGTTGCTGTTATTCCTTTTCCTGTTTTTCTCATGCCTTTTTCTATCTCTTTCTTTATCATATCCGAGATAAAGACGCCAATGTGTATTTATATAATTACGTATATTTAACAGATGCATTATAGATAACACTATTCCTCCTTCTTTAAGATATTTCCTTGAAAGTATGTTGTGTTTTCTGGTATTTGCATATATAATTTGTCTTTTTTCATTTTTCTTTTATCTATATGCACCTGTGTGCTCAATAGTTTCGAAAGAATCGTGTCATTTTGTTCTTTTTCTGGCGATATACGAAAGACAATAAATGCTTATCCAATTGCCTGGTTTGTTTGGTTGTTTCTCGAAATATATTATTATAAGTGTATTTATGTTTGATATTCATAAAAGTATTCACATGTATATATATATGTATTTCTATGTGTGCATATGTGTAAAATGAAATTAGAGACACGAAGAAGGACAAATGTCCCTTAAATATACTGTATCTTCTGATGATATTTTTCTTATTTGTTTTCTTTGATATTGTTATTTGTTTTACTTAACTCGTTGCACGATTTTTACAAGTCTTTAAATGCCAAAGGTCACTTTTTTAAAAATATAAATATTTCTTCTTCTTACCTTCTTGTGAATGCTTTCTACTCTCGCTATTACTTCTTCTTTTCCTCCATTATATTTTCATTTTATATTTTTTTTCCTTTGATACTTTCTCTCCTCCTTTTTCTCGATCAACTTTTGCCTC